TTTGTCCAGTAGTTTACAACACGTCCCTCCACCCTGTAAATCCGAATTATCATTGACGTGCCCTGGGCACCGTGATTTGTAATGTCCCACAGACTCAACCAACAGATCCGCATGTATGTACTCGATATCTCTTCTTAAGAACCACGACATCTGTACAGCCAAGGCGTGATGGTTGTCCTACAATTCTGATCAAATAAACCGTGTACTAGATTCTTTCCAATTGGAGCACATCCTAATTGTCTGTACTGACATAATGTACACAAGTGCTATACGTCAGTGAGAACTACAGCATACGGACTAGCGCGATCAACACTCATTATCACTAAGTTTGGTTTTGGTCTGCACAAAATGCACTTGCATTTGAATCAGTTCGTTCGCTTTTCTCCGTGAGCATCGCCGTTAGCCACTTTTGTTTTTATCCCTCTGCTTTAATTATCATGTCCAAGTTGAAAAATATCATGAGAGTTCTTGCCGCAGGGCATACATTCGGTTTGCATTAATATTGTGTTACCGGTCAATTGCAACGAGTGTCCCTTCGAAGTTTTACGTTTGAAATTAGTGTTCTCCCATTGCTCAGTTTGTATAACGCATTTGTTGTGCCGTCTATCACACCTAATCCTGATGGGGTAAGATGAATTAGTCCGGATTTGCATTCATTGCTGTTCTTGAGCATGGCACACAAATTGTTCTACTTCCGAACAACCGGAAGATTAGTTCGCCAGAATCTCGATCTGTTCCATCACGTGACTAGTGATTCCCGGGTTCGTATTGACTCGACTGGTTATTTCCTGGCTTTTCAAACTAGTATTCCTACTAAACACGCGTCAGTCACATGGAAACACAGACGTTTGCACGCAAGCACGCCTTCGCGCGCAAGCACACAAACACGATGGATTTGGCACATGTTTCTGCCGTTTATTCACTCGACCGATTTCATGCGCGCAGTTCCCGTTCCCGCCAGTTAATTATCCCGGCTTGGTGCAGTGTTTCTCTGTATGAAACGAATACGCACTGTATTGAGTAGTTCAACTGTACTTTCTCCGACTTATAACCGCGCACTTGTTCACCAACTACCGGATTGTTATCGATTTCAGCAAATCGTGATCAAACGAGTCATTCACCGATATTTGTCACCTCACCGGTACCGCACATAATATTCGTACTCTTAGCTAGGTTTTCCTTCATCCTTGTGTATGATAAGTCATCTCTCATTCATCCTTTCTCCATACACCTTTATACAGTTTAATACTTATTCGTTTTTTCCGGCACTGGAATTGGCGTCGAGTAGCCTTGTTCCGTAAAGACAATCACTTCTTCGATCCGCGCGTGTTTCAAGTCAACGGGGTTGATGTGATCGCGGACTTCGAGATGATCGAAAGTCAACTGAACTTCGGCTTGGTTAAACAAGTGAGCCGTTGAATACTTTTTTCAGTTGATAATATTGAACGTTATCCCCATTCATCCATTCAACCTGTCCACTCTGTGCCCGATTACTCTCAAAGCGAATGCGTTCAGGTTTACATGACTACTACGTGTTGACTTATATGGATAAATTGCGATTGCTTTGAATATAAAAGACCGTTCCGCAGCGAATGGCTGTTCCGATACAGTGAAGGACATTTCTTTTCTTAGCTTCTCTGTCATATACTAGTTCGGTCAGTGGTTTTCCCAGGTTTATTTTACCAATGTCCTTCAATATTTGTCATAAGCTTCACCACTTGTTCTTTTGTTGTCTAAACCTTCGTTTAGGGCCTGGAAAAAATGAGTGAACACAACAGCCGAATTTTTATTGTCGAGTACTTCGCTCGTGGCACCGCTCTGGTTCTCTGTGCAGCCTTTCGCCTCGGGTTCTACTTTGATGCCGGTTACGTCTGGTTCCTCAATCCATGGCTATCCAAAGACTGGTGGAAAAGTCCGGACATTCTACCTACTCAGTGCACCCTAGCTGAAATGGCCAACATAACCTCCTGGACGTTCACACTCGAACATCAGGTAATGCGTACTGTAGTGTACCCTAATGTTCGAGAGCCGGAACCTGATTCGCGTACGGTAAACCGAGTCGCTCGACACAACATTGACGACCCAGCGCACGTCACGGAAGCGCCAACTGAAGCGGACAATCAAATTTATCAATCGATGGAAAGCGTTGATATTCTGGAGGATCACAACTACGCTGTGTACACATGGGAATCAGTAATTGTTCTGGCCAAAGCGTTGGTTCATTTACTGCGTGAGAATCCCAGCTCCATGTCGGTATTTGAAACGGTGCAGATTGCTGAGGCTTATCAACGAATTGTAGCGTCCACAGACATTAGCTACACAAGTTCACCGGACACATTTCTCTCCTCTCGAGAGAAGTCTGGGGCCGATGTGACGCCAGAATTATCTGCAGCTCTGAATGGAAATGATCCTCCGGTTCAAGTATCCTCCCGATTGAGGTTTAACGGTCAAAACGAAAGAGCAGCCGATTTTTGGATTCTCAAACAACACCGAGGTCCGGTAACTGCCTCAATAATCCGTTGGTCAGTCATACCTCCGTCAGCATCATTTTCTTCACAGTCCAACGGTAGCATGAGTCCTGATTTCGGTTCCGAGAGGGATGAGGTTCCGGCATTGATGGGCGAGGTGTTGTTGGAACCGGTCAACTGGGGACGCAACAACGGTCCCCCAGGAGACGGTTCACAAACTGAAGAACACTGTACGTTCCTATTCATCAGTCAATTGTTTGGAGTCAGTTGCTCTACCGCGACAACGATTTGCGCGATCGGAATGGTTGTGTTGCTCGCATTACCCCTGTTCACTTTATTCATCATTTACTATCGGCGCAAACTAAAAGAGGCCGAGAGACTGATTCGTAAGCCGTACGAGGACTTGTGCGAAGAATTGGTGGATATTGATGTAAGTCTCATCCGTTACACATGCATGTTCAATACGAAACCATTCAATCGTTACTTTTTGTTCCTGCGACATTCTTCAACCCTGGTGACTATCTGTGTTTCCAATTGCTTCTCGATGCGCAGTTGACCACTCTTTCTTGGCATTGTATCTGGGCTTCTCATGGTATGGATTCAGCACGGGTAATCTATTGTACGCATGTAGTTTACTCGCTTGATGTTCTTAGTACCAATTCCAGTGAACGTTAGAGCAAACAGCATTGATCGAATTTTGAGGCACCCGAAACACAGTCGATTCCCAACGCTGTATAATGATCAAATCTCACGGGTTTTTCCACTCCAAGGTTTGACAACGAGCCAAAATGGCAACTAAATTACCGCAAACGTCACGAATAGGTTCGTTCAAGGCTAATTGTTCACACTCGCGGTGCTAGCTGGATTCCGGTTTGATTACAAACGGTTTATGTGAGTCGTTACCATAAAACACAAAAATAAGAAGCGAATTGGTACAAAGATAACCTCATCCAACACCGCCCAATAATTATTATCTCCTTGGCTTTTACTTTACGGTGGCTGGCTTTTGGGAGAGGATAAGCCGGCTTCTGAGATATCAAGTGAATATGCATGAAATTTCTGGAGAGTAAGGCACAGAAAACGTCCCCCAGCGTCACCGGACCTTGTGTAGATGTGGCATCTCTAGCCTTTGCACATCCAAGTGCTAACTGCAAGGCAGCAGGAAGGTTACATTTATTTCCTTTCTGTTGTGCATGGTAATTCTCGTCCGTTTTCTGATTTGCCGCAGTGTTTTATCTACTAATTTTTTCTATTTCATCCGGCTTTCTGGCTATATAGATTCCTTCTTCCGACATTGTGCTTAATCGTCGTGTTGGTCAGGGCGCCTTTGGCATGGTTTATGGTGGTGAAGCAAAACGCAATGGTCGTTGGGAAGCCGTGGCAGTCAAGGTCATTGGTGGCCAGGCCACATACAAGGGTAAAACCGGATTTTTATGGGAAGCCAAAGTGATGCGCAGCTTGGATCATAAGAATGTGGTTCGTCTGATCGGGATATGCCTGCGATTGAAAGAGGATGACCTATATTTGATTATGGAGGTGATGCTACTGGGTGATCTAAAAACCTATCTGCTCTCACGACGGGTGATTGCACAACAGTAAGTTGCCTTGTTTTTTTGTGTTTTGTATCATATTTCCTTGCACGATAAGCGATTCCGCGCGCAACATACTAATATGAACACTTTGTGCAATGGATTTTCTGAGTTTTATAGCCGTCTTCCTGTTCCTGATCTGTTTTATATCGTTATTAAGAAAACGGTTAAACGAGCCTGATACTCGATTGGCTGCATCGTTTCCGGTCGACCGATTCCGCATGAACAGTTGTTGCCGTCTATGCAATATATATTTGTTTAGTTTTTCCGTACTGAATTCCGATAGTTTTGAAAAATCGTAAACGAACGCGCTCACACATCTGTCGTCTTGACTCCAGTATCGAATTTTTCGTTTTATACTCTCATTCCTTTCCGTTTTCGATTGCTGATTTGTTAGATTGCCAAAACACCCAACTCATGAGACTAAAGCAACTAATACTGGCTGTATAGAGGTGATCTCAAGTTTGTTCTCTGTTATATCACAGATTCTAATTGACCGATGCTAATTAAACCTGATTGGAGTCATCCCATTGATCGAGTGAGATAAAAAATGAACTAACAGTATCTGTTTGACATTGGTTTTGAGGACAATTCTTTGCGACATCTCAGACACTGACCCGCTCTAATTAGGATGCACTCCGCGCACGAGAAAAAAATTATCAAAAATCAATAGTTTGTTTAAACCAAGCTCTGTTTAGTGGTCATAATCATGATCACACTCCAGGAGTAATATTGCTTTTGTGGAGGCAGTATCTCTGTTGCTCAGCTCAGATTATTTTTCGGCACCATAATTTTTCTGTCCTTTATGGATTTTCTCTTTTTTGATCTGTGACAGTGAGACGGATTAACTACAATTAACTACAATCATCTACCTATTGGTTTCAAGAAATGTCTACGCAATTAGGGCATAACAAAATCTTCGTAAGCGGGCTGCCGATCGCTGAACTGAGTTGGATGCAACTGTGTTTAACGCTGACGAATGATCCACTCTATTTAGAACGACTGTCACCATTCGGTATTGACCGCTTCTGATACGTAACCGAGCACATGTAGAACAATCATTCATTTAAATGTTGGCTATTGTTACATTTGACATGGCAGTTGATTATCATATTCGAATTTGGGTGCTTTTCTTCAAGCGGTAACTCTATACGCATCATAGTCCTCTGGGAACGGACCAACCCGGGTATGCAAGAACCATAGGTGTTGGTGATCACATGTGTTCTTCCACTTACCTGATTTATCGTTTGCTGTACTAGATTGAGTTTGTTTTGATGGTTTGAATGTAACTGATCGAAGTTGTATTCTACAAATGTTTTTCTATTTTGATCCTTCACCGCATTTCTCCCACAACCCGCCCCTCGATTTTCTCTGTTTGAATCGCCACACCTTGGGTCGTGATTGAGAAGGTCATGGCTTAATTGGGTACCACCAAGATCAAAGTTCGAACCGTGCAAACGCAAACCCACCTTGGTTGTGGGTAGCTTCGCTGTCACGTGCCTTAATATTTTGATCTTACTGTATGGTCAATTGGCGAGCTTAGTTGCCAATTCTAGTTGTTTCCCTCTAGTAGTTATCAAGATTTTCCTATACTACGGCTTTACCGAACGACAAACATTGTTCTCCATTTTTATTATGGGTCGGGTAATGGGATAATTTAGCTTTGTGAAATTTTTCTCCGGACAACAAATTTGTAAAGCAAAGCCAAGCGAAATCCCACCCACATCAATGAACAAATTTCGGTGTCATCTTTCATCTGCACTCGATGTAAAAGGGTACCATAAGAAGTTAATTGATTTCATAATAACTACTATTTTTTCTCAACTACTCAACTGTCAGACCCTCTGGACGGTAAAACCAACGTGTCAGTTGTTTATCATATCCAAAGTCGCATTCCCTTGCGTATCTTGCGTCAAATGGTCTATCTGTCCGGCGGCGTTCGTTAATAGCTTACATTTCAATGCCAAGTGGCTTTTTCGAAGGTTTGACCTGTCTCGCCTTGTTGAAAATTTTTATCTGGCCAGGTTAGCGCCTAACTTCACGCAAACGAACTATGATCATAGACTTGCACTTCCGTCTGATTGCCACAAACCGGTCAAAGCACACACCGCACACAATCTTTCTTATTTTCTTAGAGATTCTTATCCGCTCGTTGTGTCTCACTCTAATCGCGGTATTCACGCTGTTTCGTCTCTCTACGGCTTTCCACCGCACCACCATATGGTCACCCGTTAAAAACATTCGTATGCTGCTGTATAATTGAGCAAGTTTGTGTCGAAAAACCCCTGAATAATTTAACCGTTTTAATCGCATGACAGCCACAATCAATACTGACCTTATTAACCTCCCCTCCGGTGTGTGTAACATTGTACTGCAGTTTGATTGTTATCCTACGTATTTAGTTACCTGATACAATAATTGAATAAACTGTTTCATCACGTCGTTGGTTTACTTGCATGTGTGGTCCAGTGTTCGAGTGGATTTGTAAACCTATGGCGTTCCATTTTTCTGATAGCCGTCATTCGTAATCACTCTACAGGAACAGTATCACTAACACGGGATCGACTGATCGAGCAGATGATATCCGGATAATCTATAAATACAGTGGATGTTCACTCTCGAGGATTCGTGTGATATGTAGTCCAGGAATCATTCGTTTTTTTCATTTTTGTCTGTTCCTTGTCCTCTTTAAAAATGACCTTGAACATTTCTCAATGATGGTTTAATTGATGACTGATAGTCGGTAGCCTAAGGTAACGATCGAGCTTTGGTCTTAATGATGGCTCAATAAATTCATACATATGTGGAGTGCTTGAAGACTTCATGCCACTTCACAGCTGATATCGTGTCCCAGAAACCCTTTTAGAGGAAAAGATTGACTATTATGCGTCCCTTTCGATCTACGCGAATTAAAAACCCACTGCGTTACGTACTGTAAAGTAAGATAATACAATTCAAATGAGGTTAAGCGGTTATCTGCCTCATTTCAGTAAGTCACCTTATTTTACTAGTCTTGAAGGTTTTGCACATCCCAGTACCATTGTCGACAGGTCGTGGTGTTTAAAAGGTGGATTCTTGCCAAGCGAAAATTGATTGCTCTTTCCATATCGCTTGAACTCGCGTTATTCGCAACCAACAAGCGATTTAGTGGTCATTCCCCTCTAAATGCAACCTTGGATTACTTCTCGTAACATGCAGATCCGTCCGCTTTTTCCCACTCAATGACAAGTTGGTAGATGAAGTAACGCATATGTATAACTTGTGTAAGCTTATATGCTTACATTTTAGTGAAATGACGCTACCTTTCAACTGCGTTTGTCACTTTCAGTTTTCATTCTGATTTCACTGGGTAAAGAATGCTCATTTAGAAGTAAGTCCATATTTTCGTCCTTCCTTGGTCTCCTTGAATACCATCTACATTTCTAAATATCGCAGATTCCCGGATCACGAGGATATTCGTCCGTCCACGTTGACTCAGATGGCCATTGATATCGCTGAAGGGGTGGGTTATCTGCATTCGAAAAATCTGGTGCATCGAGATTTAGCTTGCCGGAACTGCTTAGTCGGCTCCGATCGTGTGGTTAAAATCGGCGACTTCGGTCTGACTCGTGAACTGATCACCACCAAACGCGAAGGCTATTATCGCTCCACACGAAATTGTACGTCCGGTTGCGTATCAACCATTTGTCGGTTGTATGTTGATGAAAATGTCCCATTTCTGTGCAAATATTGTCAGATTCTAAAAAGACAAATGTTGGTAGTTTTATTTGCGGTCTTGACCCTGGTAGAAGGTGTATTCTGAGCACCGCATTTATTGCTTATTGTTATCTCCTGCCAATGCGCGCACATCGATGCGCATTCACATCATCACTGTGCACCGGTGCTATCGGAATCAAGAGTTAAGTAGAGGCATGATTAGATGAAGAGTGAATATCAGAGTTTTGTGTTGGATTCTCACTGATCTTTTTTCGATTGCTTTGTCCGATGAAAAACATGCCTGCTCGTGAATTGGACGCTTGCTGTCTCGTGCAGAATATTACGACAGCAGAGTGATTCCATCTCGAGGGCCATATCTATCATGATCTTGAAAATATCAAAAAGAAGCGGAAAAATCGACCGTGTCACTGAACTCGTTCCGCGTTAGGCTCCCTGGATGGGGAATTCGATATCATTGCAATCAGTGGTTAGATACACTGAGTGATATGGCTAAGTGTCGTAAACAGTGGAGCTCGTGCATCGTGTCAATTTCTTTGCAACCTTAGTCTACTACGATTCTCCATTTTCTCATCGACTCTACTTCCAACTTTCCGATATTTCTCCTATTCCTTCATCGAAATAGGCATCCAAAACAGCAACCAGAATCGGCGGACCAAAGTGCATGGTTACTGGTTGTACAAACTGAAACTGAATCCGCGTGTGATTCTCCCGTCGCCAGAAATGTAAAATATCCAGTTCATGCAGGGATTGGTGTTGAACTCATTTTCGCTTAGCTGGTTTGTACCATTTGTTTTCGATCACTTTCCGGATTTCAGCTGATTGTTGCGGCCTTTCCACTTTATTGTGTACATGGGTTTCATAGTTGGACTTTCAACATTTTGATGCATTCTTGATCGCTCAGTTTTGTTTCGTTGATGCTTTGAGCAAATGGCTGTCTTTGACTAGCACCGGATTAAACTATGAGGACGAAAATCATGGTAAAGTCCTCCTGCGCATTTCTCGCGTGTTCCGCATAGCATTCTATCCTCTTGAGAAAGTCAACATTGTTTATTCATCTTCGTCTAAATAATTCGAGTCCAGACACGTAAAGCTGTGTGAGTTCTTAACGTTTCCACTGCCTGATGTTGCGGCCCAAAACACTGTTAGCATTTGGGAACAGTTGATGTGGCACAGCCACTGGAATAAGCTCGTTTGATTCGCTTTTTTAAGGATCGATAGTCCCTAGAAGGCACGAGTGACGGAAGGTTTTCCGCGCCCGTGTGCATGTACTGGAGCGGCTCATTGTCAAACTGTGCGAATGATTTTCGGTCCCCTCGGAGACTAAGAGTTCTGAATATCAAGATCGTTTTGTTTAGTGCCCTTTGATGAAGTCCATTTTTTTGTTTCGATTTCTCACTCCCGCGTACAGGCGAACTTCCGGTTCGATGGATGGCCCCAGAAGCGTTACAGTTCAATGTATCCAGCGTGCAGTCGGATGTTTGGTCATACGGAATTGTGTTGTACGAAATTATCACATTCGGGGTGTTCCCATATGATGGCTTATCCAACTTCGAAGTGGTTGAACGCGTGAAACGAAAGGAATTCCGTATCCTGTCATTCCTACCACCAGCGGCACAGAATACCACCATGTGAGTTGAGAACTGCAATCTCTTCACCTCCCCCCCCCCATCAAAAAAGGTATCTATATCATATGAGGTCGCGTTCGAGCGAAAGTTCATTTGTACTACTCACTTTTTACATAGCTCAGTTGGAAATATATGTCTGTCTGATATACCTCTAAATTGTACACACACACACATTCTGAATAATCTCACTGCACCAGAAATTGAACATTTGTTTAGCTCTGTGTATGCATCTACCTTCGATGCAAAAAATTCACTATGATGATGATCTGCTTTGAACTCTGCCTTTAAAAATTGTTTGTCTCGCCCCGTATGCGTTATCATCAAATGATAGAATAAAGAAGGATACGGTCTATGGGTACTGACTCCACCCGTACTCTGTCTTCACTGAAAATACAATTGCGGTGCTGAAAATCTAGTTCCAACAACTAGATAGTTTACCAAACCATTCCATCAAGAACACCGGTCAAATCGCCTATCACTCATCGGGACAATGCCAGAGTTGCTCGTAGAGAATTGAATTGTCACAATCGTGTGTACTAATTAACGGGTTATCCGAATCATCTCTCAGTGGGATTTCTGAGGACGGAGTACACACAACGCGATATCTAACGTCCCAGAGACGAGTAACAGCGCTGGTCCAACGTTGACTGAGTCGAACGTATGAAAAACCCCTCCAGTGGACTGAATCCTATAAGTTTTGCTAGGTGCTCTGTCTGAGCCCAAACTGTACCAAACAAGTCACGATGTAATAATTTTTACGGAACGAAAAAAAATTCCATAATCTGCTCATGGGCGCAATATCGCTAATTTGGTCGGACCAAAGCAGGTGAACTTCTGGAATTCACAAAGAAATATAGTAAGTTGTGGATACAACTTTCACTCTCGTGTCTTATTGCATTCTTTCTTTTGCTATACCGACATCTGAATGGAACCGTGCACGATCGTATCTGAACATGAGGAGTATTGTTTTACCACAAAATCATCAAGTGTCTCCTTTGATTTCCATCTAAACAATTTTGCATATTTTTTATTGAATGGACGATGGTGGCCTGATGGTGAAGATCACCAAAATTATCACCCTGGAGGACGTGCTCGAATCGCACCACCATCGCCCGGTTTTCCCTACTATGTGTTTTGTGGAAGCCATTTGAATGCTCGCCTCCTCCTTCCTGCAAGTTGTATCATTATATTTTCAATAAAAGGAAGTAAAAACTAATATTCTGCTTGACATCGTGTGAAAGATATCCTAGTTCAATGGATAGTTTCATTTTTCCAATATGATTTACTTTGAATGTTTACAGTTTTTGCACAATTTCTTCTCCCAATACAATGCAACGTTTCTCACAACGAGCATTCGAAATTTTCACTTATTGCTGCTAATTCTAANTAATAAATCTGGTTCATTGTATTGTCTCGCTCTCATGATTTCGCACTCGAAAGACTCTACACCGTACACCCTTCTGTTCACCCAGACTCCGCCCACCTAGCCTCTCCCCTTCCAACTCTATTCCATCTCTTTCGGGTACTTCAGACGATCATACTAGCAGTAGTGCCTCAGGCGGAAATTCTTCCGCTGTTTGCTCTTGTACTACCTCGATTGCTGTCCAAGTCTCACCGAA